GAGTGTTATTTATCAATACGTCAGTGACTCTCCATGCCCGTGGCTAAATCTCTGTTTTGCGTGGTATTTGCATTATGAGTGGTGCCGAGACAGTCTCCTGCCTTTGACTGGATATTCCAGCGATGCTTTTTTTTCTCCCATATACCCTTTCCGGAAAATCGCGTCTGTAGAGTTGCTGGAATCCCAACCCACACAACTATTTGCACGTCTGCCCAAACACATTATTATAACATATGGAAATGTAAAATAAACGCTCTGATGCAATACATAGTTTTGCCTGGAAACAGCAAAGACAGCAGCGGCTATATGTAGCTACATGCCAAGACTTTCATGAGCATTGTGTTGGACCGGCTTCGTACAAAATATATTATTATAATTTGAGTAGTTGCAACGACTGAAGCCTACCCCTCCACACACACTCCCACTTCCTATCCCAATATCCCTAAAACAGAACAAAAGCCCCTCAGAACAAAGCAAAAAATAGAAAAATAATTAAATGAAAAACTTTTACTAAACTTATTGTGAGTTATGCAATTTCAACCAAAAAAAGTCAAATCCAAGAACGTATTTCATAAGATTGAAAAACGATCTCCCACATAGCAGCTCCTAAAATTGAAACAACTGTCCCTGGAAACTTTTGTCTGAAACATGGCACAGAAGTCAACTGTGTCTATGACACAATGAATGCTATTACTGTTTTTGTGGTCATGAGGTTGGCAATACTAACAGTGCTAGGACAGAAAAAACTCAAAGTGCAACTGAAAATTTTCGTTCAGCTGTTGCTTCAAAATCAGATGATCTCCTGTAGTAAGTGCTTGTATACACGTTAACGATTTGAGTCGTTTCAGTCGTTGCATTCCATATCCTCAGGAACAATACAATACTTGTCGATTACACGCAACATTGACTGCTCCCTGAGAGTTGACGTTAACATGGTTTTTTGATAATGGACAACTTTATTGAAAAAAGCTAAGGTATAGAGAGCGCGCACGGGCTAGGGAGGGAGAGAAAAAGAACGACAGAGAGAAAAAAAGAGGGACAGAGAGAAGACAGAGAGGGGGAGGGAAAGAGAGAGTGAGAGAGAGAGGTGGGAAAAGAGAGAAAAGAGATTGAGAGATAGAAAATGAGGAAAAAGGAAAAGAGAGTGAAAGAAAGAGAGAGAAGTGGAGAAAAGAGAGAAGAGAGAGGGGGTGGGGGGATGAGGGAAGAAGAAAAGGGAGTGGAAGAAAGAGAAGAGAGAGGGTGGGAGGACAGATTTTTAGAGAATGGAAATATAGATAATGGGTTCGTTGCGAGGGGGCAGAAGAAAGATACGAGCCTGAATAAAGACAGACAAGCAAATATAATTATCTGAAAGAGAGTGAACGCATTTCGTCGGAAACCCTATCAGATTCGATTAGAATGCGTGGGAGAATTCACCGTATTCTCAAGGTCTGAAGCTCTATCAAAATTATGCAATTAAGGGCGTTCATTGAAGCATGCTGTCAATCGTAAAAGATGTCGGACGGGAAATATTAGATTTATTTTCAACCACTTTCCATTTACTTTCCACCCTTGTTGCTTTCACGCGCACACACGCGCACACACACACACATACACACACACACACACACACACACACACACACACACACACACACACA